CCTCCATGGGTTGATACATTTGATTTCCATTCATCATTTTTGACTATGTAAAGAAAAAAGTATTTAATAACATTATTTCATTCATTCAGATCTAGGATGTGTTATTTTAGTGTTCCCTTTATTTTTTTGAGCAGTGTATATTCTTTAAATAAAGTTTTTCGCAAATAAATAATTGTCCAAATCATATTGTAACAACATGGTCACTGGCTTCACAATGAAACTTCAGTAGGCTCTTTGGTATCACATGCACTTATGCCAGTCTCATTAAGACTGTAGAACTGGCAGTATACAAGTTTAACTTTTAATCACAGAACAGAACATAACACTGGCATGACAATCCGTCTCACAGGAGGCCAAAAAGCACTACGACAAGCCACGCCCCCAACAAGCTACACTTCCAACTCTTCTAATAGGCTGCCGCCGCTACAATATAGTTTTTCTAAATGCATTTTTATTGTACTTGACACGTACCAAAAGCACTAACATGCGTTTAAATTACTACAAAAATGACTACAAATATGATACATTAGTGTAGTGACTCCATGTCCTTCATGTGCATATGAAAAAATTAACAAATGAACTTGACGAGAGCATTGCAAACAATATCCAACGGGCAGAACTTAACGTGTACTGGGTTGTTCCACGAAAATGAGTGCCTTTTGCTCCCTTTGATATGTTAAGTAGAAATTAAGCACGAATATTGAATTTTAAAAGCCTCTTATATGAAATGACGTACCCTTTATTATAGACAACATGGGGAATTCAATAAATCTGATTTTCAATATGAAAAGAAACTTGCTAAAGTGCTCAAATTCTGCATTTTGACATGTCCCTCCGTGCGTCTTCTGTGATTTCTAGGAAGATTTTACCCACTAACCCCCATAAATATTCCAAGTTTTCACCATCATTGTAAAGCCTTTGTTATTTCATTGCTTTGACAAAGTTATTTCTGAAGATTATTATTTATTTTATGTGACTGTGATTCATTTATTATTTATTTTATGTGATTGTGATTCATTTACATCTGTCCCTCATTTTAAGGTCAACCCTGTTACGTGAACTGAACTCTTGTTTTAATATGGTGAAACTATTCCCTTTTAAAATATCTATTTCAAAAGAAACATTGAACATCTAATAGTCAAATCATAGTGTAAAAGCAGGTGAGCTGGTTCTATTCTTTTTGGCCATTTTCTGGTGAACAACTGAGCGGGTCGAGCATAACACATCAACCGTCACAACACGTCAACCCTATTACCCATAGATAGACAGGCTAGAAATGTTGTAACAATTGCCCCTCCCTGTTGCCCACAACACGTTTCCATTCCCCCTGTCACAAGGGAATTCATGGCTGATTTAACTAGTAATTAACTACTTGGAAGGCCATTCAAGTGGATTTTCCCCCAGATGTGGTTACGAACGTACCATAACACAGCTAACCATGCACCATCCAGCAGTACAATACTGTACATCTAATTGGAAGCACAAGACCTAGACGTTGACATATTGTGGAGTGTTGTACAATGTATTGTTTTTCTTTAAAATCGATAAAAACTCAAATTAAAATAATAAAAACAGCCTAGCACGTATGGCCCAATACATCACTCGGGCCAAGCTTCCTGCCATCCAGGACCTATATACTAGGCGGTGTCAGAGGAAGGCCCAAAAAATTGTGAAAGATTCCAGTCACCCAAGTCATAGACTGTTCTCTCTGCTACCACACGGCAAGCGGTACCGGAGTGCCAAGTCTAGGTCCAAAAAGCTCCTTAACAGCTTCATCTGCCACACTGCTTCATCTGCCACACTGATCCTCAACACGGGGGCCCCTCAGGGGTGCGTGCTCAGTCCCCTCCTGTACTCTCTGTTCACCCATGACTGCATGGCCAGGCACGACTCCAACACCATCATTAAGTTTGCCGACGACACAACAGTGGTAGGCCTGATCACCGACAACGATGAGACAGCCTATAGGGAGGAGGTCAGAGATCTGGCCGTGTGGTGCCAGGACAACAACCTCTCCCTCAACGTGACCAAGACAAAGGAGATGATTGTGGACTACAGGAAAAAAAAGAGGACTGAGCACGCCCCCATTCTCATCGACGGGGCTGTAGTGGAACAGGTTGAGAGCTTCAAGTTCTTTGGTGTCCACATCACCAACGAACTATCATGGTCCAAACACACCAAGACAGTCGTGAAGAGGGCACGACAAAGCCTATTCCCCCTCAGGAGACTAAAAAGATTTGGCATGGGTCCTCAGATCCTCAAAATATTCTACAGCTGCACCATCGAGAGCATCCTGACTGGTTGCATCACCGCCTGGTATGGCAACTGCTTGGCCTCCGACCGCAAGGCACTACAGAGGGTAGTGCGTACGGCCCAGTACATCACTGGGGCAAAGCTTCCTGCCATCCAGGACCTCTATACCAGGCGGTGTCAGAGGAAGGCCCTCAAAATTGTCAAAGACTCCAGCCACCCTAGTCATAGACTGTTCTCTCTGCTACCGCACGGCAAGCGATACCGGAGTGCCAAGTCTAGGTCCAAAAGACTTCTCAACAGCTTCTACCCCCAAGCCATAAGACTCCTGAACAGCTAATCATGGCTACCCGGACTATTTGCACTGCCCCCCCACCCCATCCTTTTTACGCTGCTGCTACTCTGTTAAGTATTTATGCATAGTCACTTTAACTCTACCCACATGTACATATTACCTCAACTACCTCAACTAGCCGGTGCCCCCGCACATTGACTCTGCAACGGTACCCCCCTGTATATATAGCCTCCCTACTGTCACTTTATTTTACTTCTGCTCTTTTTTTTCTCAACACTTTTTTTGTTGTTGTTGTTTTATTTTTACTTTTTTGTTTAAAATAAATGCACTGTTGGTTAAGGGCTGTAAGTAAGCATTTCACTGTAATGTCTGCACCTGTTGTATTCGGCGCATGTGACCAATAAAATTTGATTTGATTTGATTCTACCTCCAGACTGTTTACATTGACACCCCGCTGCTACTCGCTGTTTACTATCTATGCATAGCCACTTTACCCCAACCTACATGTACAAACTACCTCGACTAACCTGTACCCCCGCACATTGACTCGGTACCGGTACCCACAGTATATAGCCTCGTTATTGTTTTATTGTGTTACTTTTTATTGTTTACTTTAGTTTATTTAGTAAATATTTTCTTAACTCTATTTCTTGAACTGCATTGTTGGTTAAGGGCTTGTAAGTAAGCATTTCACAGTAACCTGTTGTATTCGGCACATGTGACATACATTTGATTTGATTAGTATTTAATTAAGCTTAAGAGGGGCACTTACAATCATTTCCCCCCCCCCCCCTCTCTCTCTCTGGAGATGGGAAAATGTGTTTTCTATTAAATTGAACATGTGCTCTTTATGACAGAATGTTAAAATTAGATGAAATCAAACGTTTTTTTTTTTACTCACCATCACAATTTCAATTATATCACTGCCAAAGTTTTGGCTTGGTGGGTGTAGACTAGATATCATAGCCATGCATTTCTGGAATATTGTCAGGGCATTACATGCATTTTAGCAAAGATGCAAATGTACACTACATGACCAAAAGTATGTGGATACCTGCTCGTCGAACATCTCATTCCAAAATCATGGGCATTAATATGGAGTTGGTCCCCCCTTTGCTGCTATATCAGCCTCCACTCTTCTGGGAAGGCTTTCCACTAGATGTTGTAACATTGCTACGGGGACTTGCTTCCATTCAGCCACAAGAGCATTAGAGAGGTCGGCACTGATGTTGGGCGATTAGGCCCTGGCTCGCAGTCGGCGTTCCAATTCATCCCAAATGTGTTCGATGGGGTGGAGGTCAGGGCTCTGTGCAGGCCAGTTAAGTTCTTCCACAAGGATCTCGACAAACTATTTCTGTATGGACCTCGCTTTGTGCATGGGGGCATTGTCATGCTGAAACAGGAAAGGGCCTTCCCCAAACTGTTGCCACAAAGTTAAAAGCACAGAATTGTCTAGAATGTAATTTTAACGCTGTAGCATTAATATTTACCTTCACTGGAACAAAGGGGCCTAGCCCAAACCATGAAAAACAGCCCCAGACCATTATTCCTCCTCCACCAAACTTTACAGTTGGCACTATGCATTGGGACAGGTAGCGTTCTCCTGGCATCCACCAAACCCAGATTCATCCATCGGACTTCCAGATTGTGATTAATCACTCTAGAGAACGCGTTTCCACTGCTCCAGAGTCCAATGGCGGCGAGCTTTCCACCACCCCAGCCGATCCAGCAACAATTGGCATTGCGCATGGTGATCTTAGGCTTGAGTGAGGCTGCTCGTCCATGGAAACCCATTTCTTTAAGCTCCCGACAAACAGTTATTGTGCTCACGTTGCTTCCAGAGGCAGTTTGGAACTCAGTAGTGAGTGTTGCAATTGAGGACAGACGATTTTTACGTGCTACGCGCTTCAGCACTCGGCGGTCCCGTTCTGTGAGCTTGTGTGGCTTACCACTTTGCGGCTGAGCCGTTGTTGATCCTAGAAGTTTCCACTTCACAATAACAGCACTTACAGTTGACCGGGGCAGCTCTAGCAGGGCAGATATTTGACGAACTGACTTGTTGGAAAGGTGGCATCCTATGACGGTGCCACATTGAATGTCACTGAGCTCTTCAGTAAGGCCATTCTACTGCCAATGTTTGTGTATGGAGATTGCATGGCTGTGTGCTTGATTTTATACACCTGTCAGCAAAGGGTGTGCCTGAAATAGACGAATCCACTCATTTGAAGGGGTGTCCACATACTTTTGTATATATAGTGTATGTACATGCATATCTGGAATACATTTTAAGGCATTACATGCATTTTAGCAAAGATGTACAGTTTCAAATGTATCAAAATTTATTTGAAATACATTTTACGTGATGATAATTATATTGAAATGTATTTTTTTCCGTAAGGGTGACTAAGTAAAAAGAAAATAACTGGATATTCCTTTCTAGGTTATGACATTTACATCATACATTGTATGATGAGACAGCAGATTTCAGCCATTTCATGTTCATTATTTTCGGCAATATGAGCAAACAACGTACCGTTCCAACACAAACTGTGATGTGGCACAAACTGCAGTTGGATCCCAGTATAAGGAACCTCTCTCGGTCTGGACTGAACGGGTCCTTGGTCACAAAACACTCTTCCAACAAGCTGATGGACAGAAACAAAAACATGATGAGTAAATGCAAGAGCTAACGTTACAACCTTCTGAAAGGTTTACTTTACACCTCATCAGTTGACAGTTAACATAGGCATAGACAACACTAGAAGTCAGCTAGCTAGGGCCACTAGAGACTCCACTAGACTCGAGAGAAGCCACTAGCCAGGGACCAACTGCATTGCATTCCATGTTAACCAGTAAGCGTGAGCAAATCTTGACTTCACACACCTCGCTACGACGCTAGTGTTATCAATATTTTACTCACACAATAGCCCTGGTATTGGGTGGCTTCTGTCCGTAGTATGTGAATGGTGTAGATAAACTGCACAAATGGCAAGTAAACATATTTTGATGAACCCCATCTGTGCTTGACTCCATTGTTGTGAATGTGAGCGTGGTTCTACTTCCTGGTTTGTTTTCTTCATTTGTGGGACGTATGCAACAGCACGGTTCTACCACCACGTAGTGGACTGGAGTGATAATGCTGCATCCAGAGGTCAAATAATGTATGCCTTCTGTACTTTGCGGTCAACTTTCATTATGGTCAACCGTCTATATCCAAAAGGAGTACATATTTTTCAGTTAGCTGATTCCTGTAGTAGACAAATATATTAATATATTAATGACATTCAAAGTGCTACTTTACATTCAAACTAAGACAATTAAATTGACTTTTTAAAATGGAAACATTCTACATAATTCATTTAAAATTATGATTAATTCACATGACTGAACAACACAGTTGATAACTCCACCAAATTTTAGGTGTACATCACAATGTCTCCCAGCAGTTTCCCTCAGACCTTGGCTAGCAAATCACTGCACAACCGCAAAAGATGATCAAATGTACAGTATTTCAACACTACTTGAGAAAAAACATTATTTTCAAGTTAATGAGATCTATTGTAGCTAGCTATGTCACTGAATGCACTAAGGCAATGGACAGTCAGCGGCTCATCCTGACCTGAATTTACCAACCATTATTACTACAAATACACAGGGAGGTATAGAGAAGAGGACCTAATTGATATCATTAACTGGACACAATAAATCCTTATACTGCATATTGTCATAATAAAATTAGAATATTAGAATATAGTGTAGATATGATATGGTAGAGTTTAAAACACACAGTGTACTTTATTACGTTAAAAACATAACGCTAAACTGCCAGGTAGTTTATGATGGATTATGTGAATATGGTATGAGCAACATATTTATTTTGATAGTGGTATATAAAGAGACACATTGGAAAAAACTGAGGGTCACGCAAATGCACGAGATAAGGATACATTGTTTTTATACAGGTGTCCCTTTCACCTTTACTCTCAAATTCCTTAAATATTTACAAAATAAAGTATCAAGGAGCTTAACAGAGACTTGGATTTGTTTATGGTTAAAAAGAAATGCTGACATTATCTGCCCTTATGACAGTAATATATCTCATTTTCTGAGTCCCTGGATATTACCATTGTACAGTACAATAAGTGGTTGTTAAAATATCCGTATTCATTTGGGGATCAATTGCTGGTGAACACAATGTAGAAGGATACACATATACTGTTATTTCTATTAACATGAATTAGCTAGAAGATTGGCTCCATGCATTTGCACCTGGGATCATCCAGGCACCTCTCCTGAGCCACACAGCAGCACAGATTATTTTCACTGGTCCAGACCAGCCAAGTCCAACACAGTCCATTTTAGCCCAACACAACCTAGTCCAGCACAACCCAACCCGTCCCCTCCTAGCTAGTCCATTCCAGCACAGTCCCACAAGTTATCTTCATCATCTTCATCCCCCCGCCTTCTCAGTACATGTCTCTGTAGATCTCCTGCAGTATTGGATGCAGAGACGTGTCCTCCGTCTTCTCGATCTCCTGGACCAACTGAGCATGCTCTGTGACCAGCTCCCGCAGGTAGGCCAGTTTCTGCAGCAGTTTGGGTAACAGGAAGGTGTCATCGGGGTGGTTCGCCAGTATGTGGAGCCGGACAGCCAGGACGACGCTCTCCTGGAGCTGCTCTACATTAGACACATTCACCAGCCCTGGACGGTCTGAGGAGAGGGGGAAAGAAGAGATGACAACAAGAGATGATCGACTACTATGACAACTTTTACATTCACACCGATATCCCGTTATTATTCGGGATACTCAAGTATTCTGTTTTTGAGTTGACGCATATAAACATCCTATCCCGTTTACAATAACCCGAAAAAGCTTGTTTCCCGGTTATGAGAAACCCAAATAAAATGCCTGGGATATCAAATCAAATCAAATGTTATTTGCCACATGCACCGAATACAACAGGTGTAGACCTTACAGTGAAATGCTTACTTACAAGCCCTTAACCAACAATGCAGTAAAAAATCATTAAAGAGCAGCAGTAAAATAAAATAACAGTAAGGAGGCTATATACAGGGGGTACCGGTACAGAGTCAATGTGCGGGGGCACCTGTTAGTCGAGGTAAATGAGGTAATATGTTCATGTAGGTAGAGTTAAAGTGACTATGCATAAATAATCAACAGAGCAGCAGCAGCGTAAAATAGGGGGTTGGGTTGGGGTGGGGTGGGTGGGCATGTAAACATCTTATACCATTTACCATTGTTTTTCATGGTCTGCGCAGGCTCAGTTTCGCATATTATGGGTGTTGTGTTATGTTTCATCTGATTGTCAAACAAATCACTCAAAAAGTAGGCAACCTGCGCAATTCGATCCACCATAATTTCACCATAATTTATTTCGCATATATTCCGTTCTGGACCACATAGTCTACTGACTACTTTCACTACTATATTTCTCCTTATAATTTCCAACATTTGGTAAGCCATATCATACTTTCCGACATTTGGTATGCCATTTGTTGGTCAACTACACTGCTCAAAAAAATAAAGGGAACACTTAAACAACACAATGTAACTCCAAGTCAATCACACTTCTGTGAAATCAAACTGTCCACTTAGGAAGCAACACTGACAATAAATTTCACATGCTGTTGTGCAAATAAAATAAACAACAGGTGGAAATTATAGGCAATTAGCAAGACACCCCCAATAAAGGACTGGTTTTGCAGGTGGTGACCACAGACCACTTCTCAGTTCCTATGCTTCCTGGCTGATGTTTTGGTCACTTTTGAATGCTGGCGGTGCTTTCACTCTAGTGGTAGCATGAGACGGAGTCTACAACCCACACAAGTGGCTCAGGTAGTGCAGCTCATCCAGGATGGCACATCAATGCGAGCTGTGGCAAGAAGGTTTGCTGTGTCTGTCAGTGTAGTGTCCAGAGCATGGAGGCGCTACCAGGAGACAGGCCAGTACATCAGGAGACGTGGAGGAGGCCGTAGGAGGGCAACAACCCAGCAGCAGGACTGCTACCTCCGCCTTTGTGCAAGGAGGAGCAGGAGGAGCACTGCCAGAGCCCTGCAAAATGACCTCCAGCAGGCCACAAATGTGCATGTGTCTGCTCAAACGGTCAGAAACAGACTCCATGAGGGTGGTATGAGGGCCCGACGTCCACAGGTGGGGGTTGTGCTTACAGCCCAACACCGTGCAGGATGTTTGGCATTTGCCAGAGAACACCAAGATTGGCAAATTCGCCACTGGCGCCCTGTGCTCTTCACAGATGAAAGCAGGTTCACACTGAGCACATGTGACAGACGTGACAGAGTATGGAGACGCCGTGGAGAACGTTCTGCTGCCTGCAACATCCTCCAGCATGACCGGTTTGGTGGTGGGTCAGTCATGGTGTGGGGTGGCATTTCTTTGGGGGGCCGCACAGCCCTCCATGTGCTCGCCAGAGGTAGCCTGACTGCCATTAGGTACCGAGATGAGATCCTCAGACCCCTTGTGAGACCATATGCTGGTGCGGTTGGCCCTGGGTTCCTCCTAATGCAAGACAATGCTAGACCTCATGTGGCTGGAGTGTGTCAGCAGTTCCTGCAAGAGGAAGGCATTGATGCTATGGACTGGCCCGCCCGTTCCCCAGACCTGAATCCAATTGAGCACATCTGGGACATCATGTCTCGCTCCATCCACCAACGCCACGTTGCACCACAGACTGTCCAGGAGTTGGCGGATGCATTAGTCCAGGAGATCCAGGAGATTCCAGGAGATCCCTCAGGAGACCACCTCATCAGGAGCATGCCCAGGCATTGTAGGGAGGTCATACAGGCACGTGGAGGCCACACACACTACTGAGCCTCATTTTGACTTGTTTTAAGGACATTACATCAAAGTTGGATCAGCCTGTAGTGTGGTTTTCCACTTTCATTTTGAGGGTGACTCCAAATACAGACCTCCATGGGTTGATACATTTGATTTCCATTGATAATTTTTGTGTGATTTTGTTGTCAGCACATTCAACTATGTAAAGAAAAAAGTATTTAATAAGATTATTTCATTCATTCAGATCTAGGATGTGTTATTTTAGTGTTCCCTATATTTTTTTGAGCAGTGTATATTTAGATACAGTTGAAGTCGGAAGTTTACATACACTCAATTAGTATTTGGTAGCATTGCCTTTAAATTGTTTAACTTGGGTCAAACATTTCAGGTAGCCTTCCACAAGCTTCCCATAACAAGTTGGGTGAATTTTGGCCCATTCCTCCTGACAGAGCTGGTGTAACTGAGTCAGGTTTGTAGGCCTCCTTGCTCGCACACGCTTTTTCAGTTCTGCCCACAAATTTTCTATAGGATTGAGGTCAGGGCTTTGTGATGGCCACTCCAATACCTTGACTTTGTTGTCCTTAAGCCATTTTGCCACAACTTTGGAAGTATGCTTGGGGTCATTGTTCATTTGGAAGACCCATTTGCGACCAAGCTTTAACTTCCTGATTGATGTCTTGAGATGTTGCTTCAATATATCCACATAATTTTCCTTCCTCATGATGCCATCTATTTTGTGAAGTGCACCTGTCCCTCCTGCAGCAAAGCACCCCCACAGCATGATGCTGCCACCCCCATGCTTCACGGTTGGGATGGTGTTCTTCGGCTTGCAAGCGTTCCCCTTTTTCCTCCAAACATAACGATGGTCATTATGGCCAAACAGTTCTATTTTTGTTTCATCAGACCAAAGGACATTTCTCCAAAAAGTACGATCTTTGTCCCCATGTGCAGTTGCAAACCGTAGTCTGGCTTTTTTATGGCGGTTTAGGAGCAGTGGCTTCTTTCTTGCTGAGCAGCCTTTCAGGTTATGTCGATATAGGACTAGTTTTACTGTGGATATATATACTTTGGTACCTGTTTCCTCCAGCATCTTCACAAGGTCCTTTGCTGTTGTTCTGGGATTGATTTGCACTTTTCGCACCAAAGTACGTTAATCTCTAGGAGACAGAACGCGTCTCCTTCCTGAGCGGTATGACGGCTGCGTGGTCCCATGGTGTTTATACTTGCGTACTATTGTTTGTACAGATGAACGTGGTACCTTCAGGCATTTGGAAATTGCTTCCAAGGATGAACCAGACTTGTGGAGGTCTACAATTGTTTTTCTGAGGTCTTAGCTGATTTCTTTAGATTTTCCCATGATGTCAAACAAAGAGGCACTGAGTTTGAAGGTAGGCCTTGAAATACATCCACAGGTACACCTCCAATTGACTCAAATGATGTCAATTAGCCTATCAGAAGCTTCTACAGCCATGACATCATTTTCTGGAATTTTCCAAGCTGTTTAAAGGCACAGTCAACTTAGTGTATGTAAACTTCTGACCCACTGGAATTGTGATACAGTGAATTATAAGTGAAATAATCTGTCTGTAAACAGTTGTTGGAAAAATGTACTTGTGTCATGCACAAAGTAGATGTCCTAACCGACTTGCCAAAACTATAGTTTGTTAACAAGAAATTTGTGGAGTGGTTGAAAAACGAGTTTTAATGACTCCAACCTAAGTGTATGTAAACTTCCGACTTCAACTGTACATGCAACTTCTCTTCTGTCATAGCCTAACTTGTTGCCCCTAGAAGACTAAATACAATAGGGATCACCAGAATAATGTCTTACATCGATAGAATGAATGCATTAGTAATCTAGTTAACACCGGTAACATTGTCGGTTTCGTTTAGGGACCTGGGGAAAAAAGCAATAACTCCAAATCAGTGGAAAGATTGGTCCTGTCCAAATGTCATCAGTTTAACCGGTTTTAAGGAAATGAAAAGCTGATTAAAAAAGATGTTTATGATAAGTCTTCAGTTCGTCTTGGGTGCATTTTTTATGTGGTTGAAATACTGTCTGCTTGCATAACTGTGTCTAAGATAACACATTACACGTGCATTCGCATTTTCTCAAGAGATGCTGAAAGAAAGAAATCATATTTCTCCACTGTTCCCGAGACAAAATTAAACATTTGTTGTATAATGTTATTGCAAGAAATGCATTATTCTGCAGGAGTTAATATTATATGATGCTATATGTGAGAGGTTATACAGTACCAGTCAAAAGTTTGGACACACCTACTCATTCCAGGGTTTTTCTTTATTTGACAGATCAATGTGATTTTTTTATTTGAATGAAAGCTTATAAATTACTTTCCATACCTCATGTACATGCGCATTGAATAGCTGTGGGGGCAATGTAGTGGCGGCAGCCTATTTGAAGAGTTGAGAAGGGTGCAATTGGGGCCCGCATTCGAGCCGTTCCTGCATGTGGGCATTCCTGCATTTGCAGGAACCTCTCTTTATATTATACTTCTATTGGTCAATTTTTAAGTTTGGACAGGCTGGGAGAGCTCCAGTACAGTAGGTGGTATTAATGCACAATAGCGTTGGATGCCAGCCACCGATAAACCCCACAGAACAAGGGGTGGGGGGTGACAACGGCTAGCTAACATACACCGGTAGACAGTGTCCTTCGCCCCCGCCTGTCGGGCACTGTTTTCCGTAGTTCTGTTATCAATGGCGAGAGCAGGTGGTTGGCAGGCGGGAGCAAAGGACACTGTGTGCTACAGTGGGGAAAAAAAGTATTTAGTCAGCCACCAATTGTGCAAGTTCTCCCACTTAAAAAGATGAGAGAGGCCTGTAATTTTCATCATAGGTACACGTCAACTATGACAGACAAAATGAGAAAAAAATATACAAGAAATCACATTGTAGGATTTTTAATGAATTTATTTGCAAATTATGGTGGAAAATAAGTATTTGGTCAATAACAAAAGTTTCTCAATACTTTGTTATATACCATTTGTTGGCAATGACACAGGTCAAACGTTTTCTGTAAGTCTTCACAAGGTTTTCACACACTGTTGCTGGTATTTTGGCCCATTCCTCCATGCAGATCTCCTCTAGAGCAGTGATGTTTTGGGGCTGTCGCTGGGCAACACGGACTTTCAACTCCCTCCAAAGATTTTCTATGGGGTTGAGATCTGGAGACTGGCTAGGCCACACCAGGACCTTGAAATGCTTCTTACGAAGCCACTCCTTCGTTGCCCGGGCGGTGTGTTTGGGATCATTGTCATACTGAAAGACCCAGCCACGTTTCATCTTCAATGCCCTTGCTGATGGAAGGAGGTTTTCACTCAAAATCTCACGATACATGGCCCCATTCATTATTTCCTTTACACGGATCAGTCGTCCTGGTCCCTTTGCAGAAAAACAGCCCCAAAGCATGATGTTTCCACCCCAATGCTTCACAGTAGGTATGGTGTTATTTGGATGCAACTCAGTATTCTTTGTCCTCCAAACACGACGAGTTGAGTTTTTACCAAAAAGTTCTATTTTGGTTTCATCTGACCATATGACATTCTCCCAATCCTCTTCTGGATCATCCAAATGCACTCTAGCAAACTTCAGACGGGCCTGGACATGTACTGGCTTAAGCAGGGGGACACGTCTGGCACTGCAGGATTTGAGTCCCTGGCGGCGTAGTGTGTTACTGATGGTAGGCTTTGTTACTTTGGTCCCAGCTCTCTGCAGGTTATTCACTAGGTCCCCCCGTGTGGTTCTGGGATTTTTGCTCACCGTTCTTGTGATCATTTTGACCCCACGGGGTGAGATCTTGCGTGGAGCCCCAGATCGAGGGAGATTATCAGTGGTCTTGTATGTCTTCCATTTCCTAATAGTTGCTCCCACAGTTGATTTCTTCAAACCAAGCTGCTTATCTATTGCAGATTCAGTCTTCCCAGCCTGGTGCAGGTCTACAATTTTGTTTCTGGTGTCCTTTGACAGCTCTTTGGTCTTGGCCATAGTGGAGTTTGGAGTGTGACTGTTTGAGGTTGTGGACAGGTGTCTTTTATACTGATAACACGTTCAAACAGGTGCCATTAATACAGGTAACGAGTGGAGGACAGAGGAGCCTCTTAAAGAAGAAGTTACAGGACTGTGAGAGCCAGAAATCTTGCTTGTTTGTAGGTGACCAAATACTTATTTTCCACCATAATTTGCAAATAAATTCATAAAAAATCCTACAATGTGATTTTCTGCATTTTTCTTTCTCAATTTGTCTGTCATAGTTGACGTGTACCTATGATGAAAATTACAGGCCTCTCTCATCTTTTTAAGTGGGAGAACTTGCACAATTGGTGGCTGACTAAATACTTTTTTCCCCCACTGTAGCTTAGCCAGCTAGTCCTAACGAGGTACACAGCAGACGGGAGGCAACACCGTGTGCTAGCTAACTAGCAAGCTAGCTAGCACACGCTGTCACTAACTATCAAGCTAGCTAGTACACGGTTCGCCCTAGCCTCCCATCTGCTGTGCTAACAGGAGGCGGGGACGACCGGTAGACAGTGTTCTTCGCCCCCGGCTGTCGGGCACGGTTTTCTCCTGGTACGCAGAGGCGAAACCGTGTGCTAGGTAGTTGACGAGCAAGCTAGCACACAGTGTCACCCTAGCCTCCCATCTGTGCTAACGGGAACAACCGGTAGACAGTGGCCTTACCCCCTGACTGTTGGGCACATTTTTCTCTGGTACTCAGCAGGCGGGATGCAACACCGTGTGCTAGCTAACTAGCAAGCTAGCTAGCACACGCTGTCACTAACTGTCAAGCTAGCTAGTACACGGTTTCGCCCTAGCCTCACACCTGCTGTACTAACAGAAGGCGGGTACGACCGGTAGACAGTGTTCTTCGCCCCCGGCTGTCGGGCACTTCTTTCTCCGGTACCCAGCAGGCGGGAGCGATGCTGTGTGCTAACTAGCAAGCTAGCTAACGCACAGTGTCGCTCTAGCCTCTTGTCTGCTGTGCTTGCGGGAGGCGGGGGCAACCGGTAGACCGTGTCTTTGCCCCACCAGTCGGGAACTGTTTTCCGCAGTTCCGTTAACAACAGTGAGGGAAGGAGTTCGGCAGGCGGGAGCGAAGGACACTGGCTACGGGCGTCACTTCTGCTAGCTAGCAAGGAGGACTCCTCTAGGCGGGGGTGAAAAAACTCAGATAATACTTTTATTTCCCTTTTGACCTCCTAGCAGGAATGCCCTGAATTGCGGGCTGCAGTTGCACACTATTGGAAGAGTTGGAGTCATGGTTTATTGGGGTCTTTCAGGATGTTATTTTTGCGCACCCGTCAGAGTGAATGTCATTCTAGTGAATATGGTCTACTGTATTCATCACTTAAATATAATATCTATCATCTCTACATGCATAAGTGCATGTGATACACTATGAAAGTTCATCTGGTTTGATTGGTATAGACTTAGGTTTGTTTAACCTTTTCAGATTTTTTGAAGTCAAACAATGTATTGACAGTTCAATGTGGTGTTTTAAATTGAATGAAAGTTCCTAAATGTCTTTCAACACAAGCAGATGCACATTGCATAGCGATGGGGCAGTGAAGTGGCGTCAACCTATCAGAAGAGGAAGGCGTGGCTTATTTGGGGCGTGACTTTAAAGCAATTATTTTTTGTCACCCGTGGATGTCATTCAAGTTCATCTGTTCTGTTGTATTCACCAGTTCATGGTTTTGTGTTTGTACACTGCCTGCATTGAATCTATAATACTTGCATAATTGTACGTGGCATTAAGAAGCCTGTTTAAGGCTTCCATTGTTAAGGTGGTATCATTTGGCTACAATATTGTGGCCAATAAATGTGATTGTTCTGTTGAAGACTCCAAAGATCAGTTTGGAATCACTATTTCATGTTGTTGAACCGCTGTAATATCTTGATTTGTGGGGAATTGATTGAATTGCTTATAACCAAGTTGAAGTAATTTGGATAGGTAGTTACAAAGTGAAAAATAGAATTGGAGCGAGATAAAAAAAAGGGGGTATATTTACAGGAAATATTAGTTTGTATTTTTTATTTATTAGGTTTAAGGTATAATATGCAGAAATCGCTCTGCCATTTCCTGGGTGCTAAAATTCAATACAAGCGATGTACAGTGTAGAGAATCATTGTACCATCTAATCCGCTGTGAAATATATTTTCAATAACCAAACTCATTTAATGGTAACCAGTTGAAGCAATTTTTTTAGTTTGATCCAAATACTATATATATATATTTTTTTTTACAGTGTACTGCACTGGCCTGGCTATGCATCCGCCATAGCTGCACCATAGTCAAAAGGGTCTGTGTTTTGTCTTGGACCTCCACAGCAGATGATAGTGGCCACAAACAGCGCCAAGTCACTGTCGTCCAACGCTAAAGAGTTCAACCTCATGGCGAACTGGAACTTGGGCTCCATCATGTCGCTGAAGGGCCACCATAGACTCTTGAGGAACTCCCGGGTAATGAACCCTCCTCCGCTCGCCACCAGGACGCCATCTTTGTTCATACAGGAGGCCAGGAGGGTGAAGAGGGCCTCATACACCCCGTACTTCAACAGAGTCACCTGCAGAGTAGAAGAAAATGTAGATTATATTAGTAGAAGTAGTAGAAAACTATTCTCAGGCGGAAATTGTTTTTGTAGAAGACTCATCCATAAAAACAACAACAGACATTTCACAAGGAATATGATACAATATACACAACATAACATGAACCACACATTGCACATTCATAAAGTTCTACAAAATCCTAACACTGGTCACCCACTTGGTCATTCAGGTCCAGGCACTGGAAGCCTGGTACGGACTTGGCGAATTCTGTAAGCTCCGTCACAGTCTCCACAAAGAAGCATTGGGAGCAGTGGAACAGCCTGGCCTCTGCCTCTGCCTCCCTCTCCTGGAGCTCCTCGGGCCCAGATCCTACTCCATCTGGGCCTACACCACCTCCTTCTCCTCCACCCACCAGCCATGCCATTCGCTCAGCCAGCTGGAGTGTCTCCATGTCGTGGATGACAAAAGGCTGCCGGAAAGAAGAGAAGAGAGAAAGACTAACCTAGTTCGTACATAATACAGTGTTGTAAGCATAGTTTGGTAATGTATAGTATATTACACATTCTGGACCGGTTTCCTGGATCCAGATTAAACCTAGTCCATGATTAAAAATCATTCTCAATAAAAAAATCTTAATTGAAAGTGTGTTTTAACCCAACTCTAGGCTTAATCTGGGTCTGGGAAACATGTCCTAAATGTTGTGCATGATATAGGCTGCCAGAGAGGGGCGCCAGTGAGCAGTCAATGACTAGTAGTACACTGTACAATTTAACAGACTGGAAATATTGGATGTATTTTGGACATTACCGTAAAAAAAAGCTATGTAAAACACAGTAGCAGTTCACTTACCAATCAAAAAGAATGCCACACAAAAAGCACACGGGTAACAAAATCAAAGCTCATCCTCTGGAGCAAGAGAGAAAAACGTTTTTGCTAATTATTATTATATACATGTAATATTTTAGTCTTAGTTAATTGGTACCTGTTTTGTTAGTTTATATACATTGCTTTCTTTGTGGCAATGCTGTTTTATATTAAAGAAAAAATATACAATTAGAACGGCACATCATACAAATAAATAACTTTGTTAAAAGTAAACCAAGCACACACAAAATAGGAGCTACATGTAAAACGCAGGCCCCTTGTGGAAATTAGTCAAATTGTACCATCACTTAGCCTAAATTCAAACAACTCACTCTCCCCTTACAATAGATTACAGTACCAGTAATGGTACTGTCAATGGATTACAGTAGCGGCATTGATACCATAAAAACTGTTTCGTGTACAGTAACTTACTGGCAGCCCATTACCTCTAAATTACTGTAAAATAACTGTAATGATTATCACATTTCCTAGCATGCTCTACTGCAGGTAGATTTTTTTGAATAGTTTTTTAATATCTGTATTTTTGTATGTACATTGATTGATTAATATTATGATACACAAAGATAAATAACATACATGTTTCTAATCTAATCCAATTAGTTAGAATTATGTCTGTCCAAACTGGACAGACATAATTGCGTTTAGCAAATCTCAAAATAAAAAGCACATAAAAGGAAGCTTGCAAGTAGTAGAAGCGAAGTAGCAGAACGTCCATCTCTTCTGTGTTTAAGGGAAACCGGAAAATATGGGATGTAGACACAGGGGCGGGACAGACGTTGCAAAACTCACTCAATACTGCCCCTCACTCTTCGCAAGGAATGTTAAGTTGGGTCTCAATTTCCAGGTAGGAAAAAAACTGTGCCGATTGACGGAGCCACCCCTTTTGTGATGAAAAACGACATTGCAAACACTGCACTACGCTCCGTCGGCCCTGTTTGCGTATTGTCTGTAGACCGCTTTAACGGAGGGAAGTTGTCGTTTGCTGCTGGATAGGACAGCCGGCAACGAAGACAGGTAGTGAGGGTGAATTTGGAAAACCAGATAAGATATTGGGGTTGCTAGGAGTGTGAGTCATCTCCCCGGCTTTTGGGAACAGACTGTTTTGTAGCGTGTTGTTGGACATGCAAATTAATTGGCTAAGCTTTGTCGTGGAAATTCTACACATGGGACACTCGAAGTCAATCTTAAATGAATCATTTTTTATTAACAGTTAACTGGAGAGGTTCCAACAAACTTGATGCACCATAGTGAACGTCTGTCATGAGCTCTACCTGGGCAGTCCCGTTATTTCTCTTATATACTGCAAACAAGTTATATTTGCATGATTTAGCTTACTTATCATTCATAATTAATTCATCATTAACGTTTGCTTCATTCATGTGACCAACCAATGCTGGTTCATGCATGTGCCCTGACGTGACATGCATTAATGTGGACTGTTATTTATCAAATCAACTAACTATGTTTAATTGTCATTCGATTAAATTAATCATGTAACAATTAACTCATTAGGAATTTGGGGCACCACGGAAGAAGTTGTTTAACGAGTTTCCATCTCCCGACTTAAACTCTTATATATATATATATTTATAACAGTCACTAATTAAATCAGTTCCTCATCAGTCTCATTCTGAACGTCGCATAATCCTTGAACCTGCAAGAACCCTAACCTTATTGATGAATTATCAATACACAAATTGGCTTAATTATTTATTTACTAACTAACTAAATAATAACACATAATACGTAAACACACACACACGGTATAGGTTATCAAAATGGGAGGGGGTCAATAGAAAGAGAGTGAAATGGAGAGACAACTCCAGAGATTCAACTTATCGTTGTTACATTTGGAAAACACCGCTCATTCGGATAAGAAATGCAATGCATATTTACGCGTAGCTGTCCTTGATCGTTGTCTCTCTGTTTAACCACTTTCTCAAAAAGGGTTTGAGTGTCTATCCCACTTCGGTGAGACTCGGTTTGTCTTTGAATGGAGTGTTCGTTAGAATAGATACTTCAGATGTACCTACGGTTGTCTGAGATGGGATTGTCCTTCCCAACTCGTGTCTTTAGTGAATGTTCTAGACTACTTTACATGTACAGCTGCAGACTGATATGATAAGGTCTAGTGCATGGTCTTCTTCTCGTGTAGAGATTGAGAGTGTAGTGTATTAGGATTATGTCTTTGTTAAATGTTTTTCATGAAGAAATGGAATGTTGGTTTATGTTAGGTCAAAAGTAGCCAGTTGTGGGGTGACGCCCCAGGGGAGACTGGTGATTGGCCAGAAGAGGGAGCAACCCATCTGTTTGCATTGTTTATAAGTATATGCAGGACGAAGTAGAAGTCAGAGCAGCCATTAGAATTCGAGGACACTGCTCTCCAGACCCTGCAAGTCTGTAACTCATGCTGAAAGCTTGTGATATGAATAAATCTTATGATCCAGGTTCAGTATGAGCGGACTCCTTTGTTCATCAGCAATAATTGCCAGCATTTACTCGATACGACAAATGGCGCCCAACGTGGGGCTGGTCTGCAAATCTTCTTTGCTTCATTCGTAGCCGCCAAGCTAACTCGTTCTGAAGTCATGGCCAGAAAAGGGTGAGTTTTTTTCTCACAAGCTTTGGAGGTTGTTCGTTTGGATACTACTTGTGTACACTGGAGGAATGTACCATTACGACCGAAATGTGCCTCGTGTGGCGTTATTGCTGAGAACGGGGGTCTGGCTAATCATTATCAATTGTTGCACTGGTAGACAGGGCAAAAGGGGGGAGAGTAGCTTGGAATTTTAGAGCAATCGATGGTAGGGATTAACGGCAGATATGGCAGATGTACAATTAAGGCAGATATGTGCATACATTAGAGCACTGTACCGCGTAAGACCCCAGGGGGGCCATTTAGAATGGGCCGACAAATCCGGTTGCGCGTTAGAATGTGCAGTCGGTGTGTTTTAAAGAAAACTCGGGTTGATGGAATTTATCTGATTTGTGATTATTGCTCGACTTTCATCCGACGGGGGGTCCGCTTGGGTGTAATTTCTCGGTAGATTGTCATTAAATCCACGGTAGCACAAACGGTAGGAAAATAAGTCAAAAGTAAAGGGCAGTGCAGGATGCTTGTTGTGTGGGGTAGGCCACAGTTAGCTAAAGGCTAATGCTAATGCTAATGCTAAATGCTGGTTCAGGCCACATTGTACATAAAGGCTAATGCTAAGGCTAAATGCTAATTGTGTTGCGTGCTACATGCTAACGGGTGTCCTTAGAGGTCCCATTGCGATGGGATAAAGCCTCTTAAATTATGTTTGTGTGTGTGTGTAATTCAGGTTCTATGTTTTGTGAGCGCTGTTAAATGTTGTTGACTATGAGGGGAAAAACGGAGGTACAGCAGGACTGTTAAACTCCCTTCCACGGTGAAAAAGTATTTTTGAATGTATCGCGCATGCGTAGGGATTTTACTAGACTGGGCTGCAGGGGGAGACAGAGAAACACAGACGAGGGAACAAAGAGGAAAGATTTGAAAATGAATTAGATCTTCTAGTTTAAACGGCTGTTGTTTGAAAATGAAACTATTTGTTGAGATGTAGTGAATTTATAAATTAGATATATGTTAACGGATTATAATGAATTTAATTAAATGACGGATTAAAATAAAATAAAAATGTTTTTGAGCGATCTATTTAGTCCTGAGTTAAGTCTTAGCGCGAATGTGAGTGGGGGAATATTGAATATGGTTGAAGTAACTCAGTATTGCATTAACTACTAAAATCTTTTCCTGTGTCTCTGTTCTTTTGTCATATGAGAGGAACAATGGAGAGAGAAAGAGAGGGGGTGCTGACGTATACATCACGTCACGTGACGCGACAGAGGATCAACTCAAAAAGGGTTTGGTACTGGTCTGGTTACAAAATCTTCCCCTACAGGATATTTGATGTTATGACAATTTCACATAGGCTTGGCAAATACTGATTCATTAAAAATTGCATTTTAGAGTCTCTGGCATCACTTGGGTTTGATTGGAATTGTGTTGGGAATCAAGGACTGACATTATTCTGTAAAATTAAGATAATTAGGTGCTTATAGAGCAAGGGGGTTTATGGGAATTGTAGTGTTGTAAGGTTAGAAGGCTTTGTTTTTAGGATTGTAGTCTGAAGTTGACTACTTGCATTTGATGGGTTGTGGTAAGATAGCCACTAATTGATAAATTGGTAAGATAGGATATAGAAATAAAAATTGATTTTAATTATTCATAATTTTTAATTGATTTTTTAATTGATTTTTTATTTTAATTAGAAATGGTTTTTGAAAAAAAAAAAAAAATGAATTTTTTCATATTCATATTTTGGTTGATTGATTTTGGTTGATTGATTTTTGTTGTTGTTTAGGTTTATATTAATAATTAAAGGGGGGGAAGCCATAGGCTATATAGTCTAAAATAAAATAATTCACAATAAAGGAATATAAAAGGGTTGTTACAATGGGGAAAAACGACATCAAGGCTATGAAAGTCATTACACCGGTTGATATAGTACAAAATAGTAATCCTTTAACTAAAGTAGTGTTAGGTTATCCGGCAAATGAAACAAAAGTTGCCCTTCATTCTCAAACAAAAACTGATAAAAGATTCCAGCGATAAGATAAACAAAGGTATAGAGAATGTGACAGAAAAACTAATGGCAGAAGTTAGTACACCTTTCTCACATACGGATTCAGCAAAAAACACCCCCACCTTATGAGAAGGAAGTAGAGCTTAGGGATGTTTATCCTCAGCTTCCAGTGATCATCCAGCAGGGTGATTATTGCATCAGAGATGAAGATGAACGAATAATAGATAGAGGACAAGCAGAAACGACCAGAAAGATGAATCCAAAACTCCAGAAGTAAGAAAAACCCAGAGGTCTGGAAACTAAGAGAAGAATGAGGTTCGGGAAGATGAAGACTTAGAGATTAAAGGTGCTTTATGTTCAAGAGGATTTTATTCAACAATGATTGGCACAGAAGAAATAGAAGGAGATATAGACCGATGCTTATCATGCCTGGATAAAGCGAATAGTTTAGAAGAAGTAACACAACTGAATGAACAACTCAAGAAGAGAAGATACAGAAGGAGAAAACCTGCTGAGAAATAATCCCAAGAATTGGAGGAGAAGAATAATACATTGAGGTCAAGGAAAGGCCAATAGTAAGAAGATGATGGAAGATGATATTTTGAGGACAGAACTTAGAATATAAGCTTTTGAAGAATCCTGATATGTCAACAGCAAGAAAGAACAGGATCAAGAAAACT